TTATATTTCTGTCTCTTTCAGAGTGAGCGCGGATAACTCCATTAGTGCAATTTCTATAGCTCTTCATTCAAGACGCTGCCTTAACATGATGGTACTAGCGAGAGCGCGTACTCTACCAGATCGAAAATAGTCACAGTCACAGTTTGAAATGTCTATTCAGGATACACATATAATTTCACATGATAGCAAAAATCACAAGGCATTCTTCACATTACACACCAGTAACAGACAAACTGGGACACAAGATCATGAATGATACACCCATTCACAATAGCTTCAAAAGAGAATAAATACCTAAGGAATCCAACTTACAGGAGGCTTATGTACGATAAGGCGATGCCGTTCTCGTGAGAATACTACACAATCCACTTTGCTCAGTGAAATCAAAGAGGACACCACCAATAGCTGTCTAGTCATGGGTTTTAGGGTGAAGCATTGAACAAATACAGGATGAAGAAGTGGGCCGAGTAACTGCGCAAGAGTAATTGGTATAGAGGATTCAATGCCATCCCCATTAAGACTACCATACATGATTTCTTAAACACAGAATTTGGAAAAGAACTGCCTTTAAAGTTCATATGGAACCAAAAAAGAGGCCCCGCATTGCCCAAGAAAATCTAAGCCAAAAGAACAAGCTGGACTGGCGCCACACTACACGCTAATACGTTCAATTCTAGACGAAGCGTACCAGTGTATCACCAGAGGACAGATTTTGTTTTGTTTTGTTTTTGGTTGGGTTTTATTTTGGTGTTTGTTGTGGAAGTGTGATTGTGTGTCTGCATGGTAGCTGGTACCAAAAACAGAGATATAGACCAATGGAAACAGAAAGAGAGCCCTCAGAAATAATACCACACATCTACAGCCATCTGATCTTTGACAAACCTGACAAAAACAAAATGGGCGAAAGGATTCCCTATTATAAAATGGTGCTGGGAAAATTGGCTAGCCATAAGTAGAAAGCTGAAAACTGGATTATTTCCTCTACTCCTTATACGAAAATTAATTCAAGATGGATTAGAGACTTAAATGTTAGACTAAAACCATAAAACCCTAGAAGAAAAACCTAGGTAACTAACCATTCAGGACATAGGAATGGGCAAAGGACTTCATGTCTAAAACACCAAAAGCAACGGCCCAAAAAGCCAAAATTGACAATGAGAATCTAATTAAACTAAAGAGCTTCTGCACAGCAAAAGAAACTACCATCAGAGGTGAAACAGGCAACCTACAAGAATGGGAGACAATTTTTGCAATCTACTCATCTGACAAAGTGGCTAATATCCAGAACCTATAAAGAACTCAATCAAATTTACAAGATAAAAAACAAAACAAAAAAAACATCAAAAAGTGGGCAAAGGATATGAACAGACACTTCTCAAAAGAAGACATTCATACAGCCAACAGACACAAGAAAAAATGCTCATCAATCACTAGCCATCAGAGAAATGCAAATCAAAATCACAATGAGATACCATCTCACACCAGTTAAGAATGGCAATCATTAAAAATCAGGAAACAACAGGTGCTGGAGAGGATGTGGAGAAATAAGAACACTTTTACACTGTTGGTGGGACTGTAAAACCTAGTTACACCATTGTGGAAAACAGTGTGGCGATCCTCAAGGATCTAGACACTAGAAATACCTTTGACCCAGCCATCCCATTACTGGTGGATGAACCCAAAGGATTATAAGTTATGCTGCTATAAAGACACATGCACACGTATGTTTATTGAGGCACTATTCACAATAGTAAAGGACTTGAATCAACCCAAATGTCCCCATCAGTGACAGACTGGATTAAGAAAATGTGGCAACATATACACCAGGAATACTATGCAGCCATAAAAAAGGATGAGTTCATGTCCCTTGTAGGGACATGGATGCAGCTGGAAAACCATCATTCTCACAAACTATCGCAAGAACAGAAAACCAAACACCCACATGTTCTCACTCATAGGTGGAACTGAACAATGAGATCACTTGGACACAGGAAGGGGATCATCACACACCCGGGTCCTATTGTGGGGAGGGGAGAAGGGGGAGGATAGCATTAGGAGATACACCTAATGTAAATGACGAGTTAATGGGTGCAGCACATCAACATGCTCATGTATAACATATGTACAACCTGCACGTTGTGCATATGCACCCTAGAACTTAAAGTATAATAAAATAAATAAATAAATAAATAAATAAAGTATTGAAACCAAATCAAAAAAAAAAAAAAGAACGAAACTCTGTCTCAAAAAAAAAAAAAAAAAGAGCTACTGTTCCTTTCGCCTAAAAAACTCGTTCCACTCTTTCTTCCAGTTGATCGAGTCGGTTACTGAAGCTTGTGCATTTGTCACGTAGTTCTTCAGTTCTTTTATGGACTTCTCTACATTGGTTATTCTAGTTAGCCATTTGTCAAATCTTATTTCAAGGTTTTTAGTTTCTTTGCACTGGTTACGTAGTTCCTCCTTTAGCTCTGAGAAGTCTGATCGACTGAAGCCTTCTTCTCTCAACTTGTCAAA